TTTGTAATCTTCTGCATATAAAAGTGGTTAGCATGGTTAAGTGACATGTCAAGAATGCTATCTGTTAAAGCTAAATCACAGCAAATCAAGTGAATTTCCAAAGAAAAAGTTACCTATGAAGAACCAGCCTTCTGACAAATTACATGGGAAATCATTAAGGATCTGACCCAGAGCCCACTGAAGTCATGGAGAGTCTTTCCATTGACTTTAATGAACTTTGGATCATGCTATAAAAGAGCTGACAAGTCGTCAGTTCCACTTTACAGCATAAATTCTGATGAGAAATGTTTCTTGCTGGAAAGAAGAAGTTTTATCCTGCAACCCTAAATCAGCACATGAAGGTAATTTCCCAGGGAGAAGTGAAAAGACAACAAACCTCTCAACAGTATCATGTTCATGCAGGGAGAAAAACCTGATCCTGTCCACTTCCTGATTTCAAATCATTCCAGATCATGTTCATGAGCAACTGTTTATATGTTTCCAATTCCAATGCCATTAACAGCAGCAAATAAAAAAGGGAAGAGAAATAAAGTTGCGAAGGTGAGCCCCTGTCTTGCATCTTAAAGATATCCATAATTTGGCAAAAACACCAAGGCTGAAATCATGAAAGCACTCCTCTTCAACAAAGCACTTAAGCATGTTTAAATTTAAGCTGTTGCTCAAGTCCCATAGACCTCACTGTAGACAAAGGAGTGTGAGTGTATGTATGTGTGTATGTGTATGAAAGAGAGAGAGAGAAAGGGCAGTTGATACTAAAATAAGATATTTATTAAAACTCCAGAAAGTTTACATTTCTCAACTCTGCCCTTACATTCCCCAACATCTCCCATTTTGTGACTCCCTAACATATCTTTATGTCCAATGGCTTTTCAGGAGGAGTTTCCTACCCCTACCCACACTTTTGTTCAATATTAAACATCTCTCTTCTAGATTCAGTCCACATGGTGCAGATTCCTAACACACGTGTTTTAGGGATGAATTGGGCTTCACTCAGTCAATTTTCCATATTCATGTGTTTGCAAGCACATGTGGTTATTGCAGAGAGCATAGATGGAAAATGCACCCTGCTGTATCATCCCCACATATGAAATAATGTGACATTAGGGTGAAAGAGAAAGAGAGCAGCTGGCATAAGGGCTTACCTGTGCCGATGAAGAAAGGCTTCTTTGTCGGCGCGTCGCGTCCAGACTGCCCCGATCTGCCGACAAACAGCTGATCGGCAGATCGGGGCAGCCATTTAAATTTAAATGAAGCCGCGATTATTTTAATCGCGGCTTCATTTCCCCCTTCCGATCTGGCTAATCTACATGCCTCCGTCGAAGGAGGCATGTAGTCTAGACACACCCTGAGGGACAGACATGAATAGGGGAAAAAATAAAGAATGAGGAGAAATACTAAATACATGAAATTTACAAAGTTACAGCACACCAGATGAGAACATCCTCAGATTTTAGAGAAGTTCAGATCTGGATCTGAATTGAATTCTCTGCCTCACACCTAATTCTGCTTACTACAGCTCACTCAAGCGTACAGCAGAAATAAAATAAATAGTAGGCCTAAATGAGTGTGAGGAATTATGAAAACAGACAAGTATTGAGCAACACATGCAGTGAGAAATGCTAAAAATCAAAGCTTGAAATTATTCTCATTAGTTAAGCACTGAAAATATGTTGGACCTGGTCTAAAATATATCAAGATAGTCCCTGCCCCAAAGAGTTTACAGTATAGATGATTCATATTTTAAGGTCAGAAGGAACTGTTGTGATCATCTAGTCATTCTAATATGGCTTCCTGTCTGACACAGACCACAGAACAAATAAGAGAGCCAAGGCACACTGGGAGAATCAGAGGAAAGAGTTACCTTATTTACTCACTGTCCCTTTATTATTGCCATTTTTTTCCAATTGTGGACTTGACAGAAGAACACAGTCCTTGGGAGAAAGGTGAAGAGAGGTACACAGGGAACGAGAGGTTACTCCATGAATAGGAAGCAGCATGAAGGTAGGAGTGAAAGAAGGAAATTAAAAGGTCATTGTTGCTAAAGCAAAAGAGAAGTGGGAAATGTGAGAGATCAGATATGTATAGGTTGAACCTCTCTAATTTGGCACCCTCAGGACCTGACCAGTGCCGAATTAGAGAATTTGCCGAACCGCAGGAGGTCTATTTTGTCTAGCAGCATTACTAACACTTCCACTGCTTACTGGGATCTTGGAAGACATTTAGGGGTAAATTAGAGCTAAATTACAGCACAGAACACTGAGATCCAGGACTGGTGGCTGTAAAGAAACCTTATGGGACTGCAGGAAACTTGGCCGCCCCCATGCCAGACCATGGATGTTGCTGGACCAGAGAGATTCAACCTGTAGCTCAGGCAGAGCTTTGCAAATTAATTCACATCAATTAAATGAAAGTTCATAGCTAATGGCAATATACAAATTCACATTTGTATAAATAATTTTAAGACTTGCACTGATTCAAATTGTACTCTGCAAAATATTGACAATATTCTGTAGGCAACAATTCTACATTGACCTGAATGGCCAAATGGTTCTTCTACAAATGTCTAATCAGTTGAATCCTGAGGTCAATGGAAAATTTGCCCAAACAATAAATGAATAAAAACTATATTAGAAATTCAGAGTTTGGCCCAAACAAAACTTAGGGGCAAGTTATGTAAAGGCCCATGAAACCTACTGGGTCAGTGATAACTGGGTCATCAAAATGACTGCTTGCAAATGTTCTGAGATTTGCAAAGCTTTCATAGCTCATCTGGAGTGAAGGAGTATAGTAGTTATTTTATTGGTCAATTGGCCCTCACCATAATATAGACAGAATGAAGTAATCAAACAGTAAAGAAAGGCAGTTACAATTAATTCTTTCCCTCCAAATTCCAGCATCAGTATTTCAGTTGCATAGGGAAAACAGGACTGAATTGACATGATCCATTCATCTCTGTGTTTGAATCACATGTGGTTGTTTAAGAACATAGTTCTTATTAACTCACAGGAGCTATGCCCAAATCTACCACCTTTATATTTTCCACACTTGCCTAAATTTCATGCTTGTTTCCCGATCCTCAAGCCAAGCTCCACTGTCACATCCAACTAGTCTGGGTTTCCTATCTTAAAGGGAACAAATAGTAACCTTTTTTCAGTTCTCACTCATTCAAGTCTCATTTCTATTATCATCATCTCTGTTCAGTAGTAGTGGTAGCAGGGGAGTAATTATAGTCTAAGCCAGCTGTGTCCAACCCATGGCTAATGAGCACTCTTCTCCCTCAGGGTGCGGCTCGTGAAACCTCCCCCAATGGCTTGTAAAGCCACCCCTGCACTCCCAAAAATGGCCCTCTCCTCCGATCTGGGCAGGGGAGCCATCCAACACGGCCATTAAAGATGGAGAATTAAAGATGGCGTCAGCTGGCGGGAGCCTGATGTGGTCAAAAAGCCTTTAAATGTATTTTCTTAAAGGGACAGAGCTTTATTTTTATTTTTTTTCCTCAACCAAATGCAACTGGGGTTCCTTTTAAAGGGGAAAAAAGGAGCAGTCCCTTTTTTTTTTTTTTGCTTGACAACTTTGCCCCTCACTGGATCCACTGATATCTTGGCTCTTTGCCCAGAATGGGTTGGCCACCACTGGTCTAAGCTGTTTGGATCACTCACATTTATACTGGTGCCTTTCTGCCTCGTCTAATAATTGGTGATGGCTTCCATTTATAGCATTTTGCCATATACTTCAATAAGATCAGGATCTCACCAATGGGATTCTAAAGTTATGTATGCTGGTACCATGAGTAGTATGATAGATGTACAAGTTTAGGTTTTTTTCTTCTAGGGAAATATGCTTGGAAATGAGAAAATAAGAGGTGATTCATTTTCTGTGTTAAAAACTCTTTTCCTCTTTCAAGGAAGTTAATTCAATAACAACATTACTTATAAATAGCAGTACAGAAATTTTGTTCTGGAAATGCCGCAACAGCTTTCCCAACACAGTTGGGATTACTTTATGTAGTTCCTTTTTTGTAGTTAGTATATCATACTCCAATATACTCATGTATAGAAATTAAAAATGGAAATTAGTGAGACATAAGCTTGTCCTCCATTAGTAAAAAGTTGAAAAAGAGTAATATGGCTATCTCTCTGAAACCTACTCCATAAATGATGGGCAGACCATTTGGGAAAAAAAGAATCTCTTGAAACTCTCCACCTATTTCTAGATCCCAACTGAAACAGAACCTTTTTTAAAGCTCTGGTGTGTCTTCATATGTGTTTAGGCACCTGAAAGTTTAAAGATAGCATGAAAAATTCTGGCTTGGTGAGATTTCCAGATTGAGTTTTCAGACTCAAGAAGCTTAGATAGCTCAGATAAATGCTCATTATCTAGGCTTAAGTCTAAAATAATTTCTAAAGTTTATTGAATATCATTATGCATACAGCACAAATATTTAGGTGAAAAGTGATTAAAGGAAATCAGCTGTGATTACATATTAAATGATAGACACCTATAAAATACTTAAAATGAGGGTGATATAAAATGTCTTTAAGTTTCTGAGAATAAAAGAGGGACCTGACTCCAGAGTCATGGATCTTCTAAAGAGAAATAAAGTAAAGTAATGAGGAAATATTCTATTTGATGGTAACATTGTGTCTTCTAGCAAAGTTATTTAAAGCAGAAGAGACTACACCTTTCATCTTTAAAGGAATTAATCCTTACATTTGTTATCAGGCTGCAATCCCTTCTATTGGAAGGGTTAGCAATCTTTCATGGAATGAGATGATGACCAAGGAGCAGGTCATGCTCCCATTAAATTAATGGGATACTTGCTATTGACTTCAGGAGCAGTAGGTGCAAACCCCACATTTGTCCCTCGTCTTGAACAACAAAAACGTTTGCTTTCCATAGTATAAGATTTGACAAAACTATAATAACAAGCCAGAAATGGCAAGATGATCCATAGCAAAATGTAGATTTATTGACAGGGGTGTCTCATTATGTTTGAACAGAGCCTGAGTCACAGAACCTGATTTGGAGCCCTTAGATGCTATTGTATTCATTCACCTCAGTCTACCTGCACCCAGCTTCTGTGTTAATGCTGATTCCTGAATAATTGAACGTCCTCTTTCCCAGGTATACCTGAGCCAATGATTTATATGATAATCCATTATAGGATAATATGACATAAGCTTTTTGTGAAAGTGACTATGCTCTTGTTGAGCAATAAAATGATTCCTCTTCAGTAATGCCTCTTCTACTTCAAGGAAGAGACTCTCAAATATAGTGATAACCTCTATCACTATTTCCGTCTCAGGATGGTTTGAAATCCCCAACACAAATGAAGGTAATGAAAGCTGAGAGAAGCCGGCAGCATCAGACAACAGCAAAAAGCACTTAATTACAGTAGCTTTGATAGATTCTTGATAGCATTACAATGCTGTCAGCAAGATCTGATTTGCCACTGCCTTTCACTTCTTTAATGTTTAACCAACTTTGGACCCATGTAAATGACTATACAAGGAACAGGACAATGGAAAGTTGAGCCCACAATGTTTAGGGAAAATTTACATTTTGAGGCAGATGTATTTCCAATTGAAATTACATACGTTTAGAATAACTTCGAATAGTTTAAATATGCCAGACTTCCTCTCCCCTCCCCCACCCACCAATGGAGGGAGAGGGAGTCATCTACGTCCCTCTTGGATCCGAAAGAATTTCCCATTTTTTATAAACCAACCCATTGTGTGGTCATGAAAGAGGGACTAGATTAGGGTGCGAATTCAGGTCTAGCTGATAACAGTCCTTTACTCCCTGTCTTAAAGAGTTTTTCAGGCTAGAGCATTACATTCTGCTATTACTATTCTATTTTACTAACTGTAATTCTCGATGCCCCAGAACTTATTCCTCTAGTTCAGTGGTCACTTACCAGTAGATGAGGATCTACCAATAGATCTCAGAGCCCTGACAGGTGATCCTGATTGGTTTGGACAGGAAACTATCAAGCACTGGCACTTCAGTTGCCCCTCCACACACTGTCTTGGAGCTGTCCCCCTGGAAGCCTCCTGCTTGCTGTGTAGGGTATGGGAGTGAGAAGAGGCAGGGCGCTGATGTCAGGGTGTCCCTCCTTCCCCTCACTTATGTACCCTATCTCCACACAGAGAGAAGGGAATGGAGGGAGCTTGGCAAAATAAATCTGTCACACTCACACACTGTGTGTGTGTCTGTCATTCTCACAAATACACTCTGCTCTTCACTCTCATCATCTGACCCAATACATACTGTGGGGGGTTGTTGTTTCTTCTTTTACTGCTTGCAAAGTGGGTTATTTTTGGTTTTCGACTGGTCTGTGCATTTCATAATTTTCGTTTCCCTCTTACACTTCATTCTTTGGGTAGTGAGTTCTAAAATGCCTACCCTGTCGTGGCTGGAGTAATTATCCCTGTGGTAATTGCTGCTCCTGGAAGTGGCTGGCATGTCCCTGCAGCCTCTGAGAAAGGCAGAGCAGGAGGTCTCCACGTGCTGTCCTTTCCTGCAGACACCACTCTTGCAGTTACCATTGATCAGTAATGGGGAACCGTGGCCAGTAGAAGCTGTGGGCTCAATGCCTGTAGACAAGGGGCAGCACATGGTGCCATCGAGCCATTGCTGTAAATGCCAGCTGCTTTCAGGAGTGGTGCAAGGGCAGGCAGGGGGAAGCCTGCCTTAACCCCACTACTCCACCACCCAGAAGCTGTCTCAGTTAAGTGGTGCCCAGCCAGAGCCTGCTTCCTGAATCCCTGTTCCAGTCATGAAGCTTCTCCTACACCCAACCTCCTGCCCCAGATATGAGTCCTCCTGCACCCAAACTCCTTTCCAGAGCTTGTACCCTGAAACCCCTTCTAGACCCCAATCCCGCATCCTGGGCTAAGCACAGAGCCCCTCTAACACACCAAACCCCTTGGCCCAAGACCAGAGCCTGAACCCCAACCCCAGCCTGGTGAAAGTGAGTGAGGATGGGGGAGGAAGGTGAATGGGGTGAGCAGGCTGAGGCCTCAGAGAAAGGGCGGAACAGGGGTGGGGCCTCAAAGAAGGCACAGGAAGGAAGCAGGGGAAAGGTATTTGGATTTGAGGTAGCTCTTATATTGCACTTAAACTGAAAAAGTGATCTTGTGGTTAAAAAGATTGGAGACCACTGTTCTAGTTAAACCCTTCACACACTGAGGCTTTCCCATTAGTTCTATTCTCACCAGTGAAGATTCTTGTTTTATCAGTTTTATCTCCTGGGTGCCCTTTGTGTCCAGTAGTGTCTCAGAGATTGCTCCAGAACTCTTCAGATTTTACTTTTGTACATCCTAAAAACATTAAGGTGACATGCTTGTGACCAAGTCTTTAAGATGTTGTCAGCTCTCCACACATTATCTAGGGCCATGTAGATGTTCTTTCATCTATTTTTAGAAGCAAATTTCTCCAAATTGGAGATTCCAGATAAAGTAAATGGAGCTTCTTTAGCATCTCCACATCTCCCAAAAATGGGGTTATTAATAGCAATCAACAAATTCACTTGCTCAGCCTCAGCATCTCATAGATGGCAAAGCAAAAAAATTATCTTTTTTCCCCCGCCTCATCCTGGACAGACAGTAGTACACCAAAAAAATATGTATTATTATAGGGTCAATATGAAATCTCAGTGGTCTAATTTAAATATTCAAATTAGATCACTGGGATTACATATGCCAAATTCTGAAGTCCTCAATATTTTACTCTGTTACACAGGCTAAATTCCTACTTGAGTTAATAGCATAAAATTTGCATGTAGATTTTGGAATTTTGCTTAATGACTTTATTGCATGAAAAGGCAGTGAAATGTTATCAAAAAAGAGCTGGCAATCTCAGGTTCTCAGTTGCTCTGGAAAGCTAAAGGCGTGTTTGATATTATTTAACTCGGTTAAATATGTTTTCTTTGTTTAAACACTATATACTTACCTAACTGATTTAGGTAAAGTAAAAAATATTGCCCACATTAATTCCATTCAAGATTTTAGCTTAAAAAAACCCCAAATGTCTCTCAGTCCCTAGCCACACGTACAATGTTTATCATCACTTTTCAAGAACCAGGAAATCTAGCATGGAAGCTGATGGTACAGAGTGTTCTAAACTCACTTTGCCATTGTTTTCTCAACAGCAGCACAAGTTAATGATATAAAGAAGTTTGAACTTCAGATGTTTTGGCTTTGAATTTTTTTGTCACAACCATACTACAATATATGCATCATCATTTGTATTGTTGTATCTTTTAGTTACAGAGCCAAACTCTGGTGCCTGTGCGTGCACATTCAAAGACAAGATTTGGCCTATAATTGATTCAGCTGAATTACACAGTGGTATTAGAATAAATATATGCTGAACAGTGTATTCAAGTACATTACCATTAGATCATAAACAAATGTTTGATCTGAGCTTGATTTAAAGCACTAATTTCTAGCATAGAAAGGTCAAAGCTTCTTTGTTTCCACTTACAGATTTTGTATAAGAGAAGTTAATTGGTAACTTATTTGGTCATGAGACTGTTTTATAAATGAACCACAAAATAAAACAAAGGCCTTAAAAGAACATGAGAAGAAATTAAAGTTTTGGTTTTTTGTTTTTTGTTTTTTTTTTAAGGAAGGCAAACAATGCAGAAGGAATTAAATACGATGAAAAATGAGGATATATGTTTTAATGTGGACAAAACACACACATCACCCTGCCTGCAGTCAATGGACCCCGATGTAAAGTCTCACAGAACTGCACCACTAAGTGAAGAATTCAGGGCACAGCTTGCACAGTTCCAGTACAGTCCTTCACTTGGAGATATAGAACCCTTTCATGGATCCTTAGAAGGAGGGTCCCGAAAACGCAAAAGCATGCCCACAAAAATGCCTCATGCTATCTGCACAGGCGATCCCACATCACCATCACACAGCTCTGAAGACAACAACATATGCTCTCCAAGTTTTCCTTTGATGTATCAACAACCCACACAGCCCAAGTACAGCTCCCAAATGATTGATCTGTGTAACATTGGTTTTCAGTTCTACAGAAGTCTGGAGCACTTTGGAGCCAAGCCCATTAAACAAGAACAAGTAAAGCCCAACATGATGTGGCCCAACACTCCTGCATTTGTGCAGACTCCTTACTCCTATTACCCGAAAGTTCACCCTGGCCTGATGTTTCCTTTTATTATACCCCCAAACTTTCATTTCAGGAATTCCTTCCAACTGAAAAGACCCTTGGAGCCAGCATTCAGGAGGACTGAGCTGAGCGAAAGTGGTGACAATAAACATAAGGTGGAAAGAGTAGATGTCAACCTCCAGATTGATGACAGCTATTATGTCGATGTAGGGGGAGAACAAAAACGATGGCAATGCCCAATGTGTGAAAAGTCCTACACTTCCAAGTACAATCTGGTCACCCACATCTTGGGACACAGTGGCATCAAACCTCATGCTTGCACTCGGTGTGGGAAACTTTTCAAGCAGCTGAGTCACTTACACACTCATATGTTGACACACCAGGGCACTCGACCACATAAGTGCCAGGTGTGTCACAAGGCTTTCACCCAAACCAGTCATCTGAAGAGACATATGATGCAACACAGTGACATCAAACCCTACAACTGTAGGATTTGTGGCAGAGGTTTTGCCTATCCAAGTGAGCTGAAAGCCCACGAGACTAAGCATGAGAGTGGCAGAGAGAATATTTGTGTGGAGTGTGGTCTTGACTTTCCAACCCTGGCCCAGCTGAAGAGACACTTAACAACCCATCGAGGTCCTATACAATACAATTGCACAGAATGTGATAAAACTTTCCAGTACCCAAGCCAGCTGCAAAACCACATGATGAAGCACAAAGATATCCGTCCATACATATGTACTGAATGTGGCATGGAGTTTGTTCAGCCCCACCATCTCAAGCAACACTCCTTAACCCACAAGGTAAGTCACTAATATGTAAATTTGCCCTGATCTTGAAGGCCAACACAAAGCCTTTGCACCATTAAAATCCAACTTACATGCTCCAAAAGAACTGATATCTACAGGCCCTTGTATGGATTTGAATTTTATGCAAAAACAACAAGAATAGTACGGCCATTAACAGAAATGATCTCTAGTCTTAAGAAATACAGTGCAAGAAAAAAGAAATCTCATCATAGCCAGGAGTTCACTCAAGTTGCTTGTATTACTCCCCAAATTTAAATACACATTCTCCACATTAGTTTAGTTTTTATCTTCATGAAAACCATAGTTTTGTATAATGATCTTTAGCAGTGAAATTTAAACAAATTTTTTTAACCATGTATAGACAAGAAAATTTACTACTCCTTGTTAGATTTTGTGTAAACGGCTTCTGTACTACAGTTAGAAAAACCATCCCAACCTCTACCACCTTATCCTAGAAGTAACCTAGAAAAACAAGTGACTGGAGCTGTACAAAAAGGGATCTGATCCAAAGCCCTTTGACATAAGTGGGAGTCTTTGCACTGGCATCAATAGGTTTTGGATCAGGTGTATAATCTGGAATGAACAGAAAAGAGTTTTCAGTGTGATGCGTAACATCTGCAATCAGAATTCTCAGTATATCACAAACCTATGGTAAGGATCAATTTTAATCTAACAATCAAATTGTATTTTAACTAATGTTGATAAACTAACAAACACATCCACGTGTTTTATGAACAATTGGATTCAGATTTGGGTCTTCTCCCCCCACCAGTGGTCTAATTTGGGTTAATGTTTAAAATTAAAACACTAAGAACACAGAACATTGCAAAATTTAAGTATTATAAGCTAATTTTTTAGACAACTACCGGTACATAGTCAGTATTTTCTTTTCTCTTTTTCTTCCCATTTCCTCTTCTGTAGGACCAACTCTTCTTTGGATTTACTCTGTAATTTTAAACTTAGCTAAAAGTCTAATACAAACTTGCAATAAAAAATGCAACACCTTCTTGCCCATAATTAATCAAGTGTGATCAGTTGTGAGCACAATGGAAGAGTCCTTAGATTCTAACGGTCTGTTGGATCTTAAAGCTATTATTTGTATCCACAGTTAATGTTTTATGCCCACAGATGGTCAGTAATGCCCAGTGCCACTGGTATTATTGCTTTAATTGCATGACTTTTTGCTCCTTACAAAAAATTGAGCAGGTAATTTTAAAATATTTTTCCTCAAAATAGAGACAGACTCTTTCTTTGTTCCTTAAGGCTAAATCCAACACCCATTGAAGTCAAACTCCTACCACTGACTTCAACAGGGATTGTTCCAGGCTCCTAGTTATCAGATGTTGGAAAGTTATTTTAGGTCTCACTTAAGTTTATAAATGGTTGACTTGGTATTGGCATACATGCAATTGGTAGGTAAGCTACTAGTAGAGCAGTAGAATTTTACCACTGGGTTTGTCATTTGGATGTCCTAATGATATTAATACAGGGTAAAATTTTCAAAAGCTCCTATGCCACAGGCTGCTAAGACCCATTTTCTGAAAGGAGCTAGACAATTTTTTCCACAGTGTTATATAATAATTTCTCATCACTAATAAAATCATATGATGCTCTTGTAGTCAGTAAGAAAATCAGTTTAATGGCTCTCCCATAGACTTTCAGTGGAACTTGGGAAAGTGATTTCACTTCCCCGTGTCTTGGTTTTCCCCCATTTGTAAAATGAAGAACATGCTCCCCTATATTAATGTTCATAAAGTGCTATGTGATCTTTGGATGAAAGCACTATAGAAGTGTAAAATTATTATCTAAACGGAGTTTGAAAGGGGAGGCCGAATAGCCTGATATGACTGCTCTGTAAAACTTACTGAGGGAAGTGCCACTTGCTATTCCTCACTCCTATTTATATTGTTCTGTCATATAGACATTTTATGGTTTCTCTTTCCCCTTACAAAATCTTACATAAATTGACCAGAAGAAAACAAAAGTATCCAAATAGCTACCACTTCAGCAGGGTGATGTTAACAAGAACTGAACTTATTCATTGGTTTATTAGCACTGCTTGAATATATATTCATATAACAGCTTTGAAAATAAATGACTGAAACAGTCACATCTATTCAGTTTTCTGACTTTCTGTTTCCATAAGGGTGTAAAAGAGCATAAATGTAGGATCTGTGGCCGGGAGTTCACTCTGCTAGCCAACATGAAGAGACATGTGTTGATCCACACCAATATCAGAGCCTACCAGTGTCACCTGTGCTTCAAGAGCTTTGTGCAGAAACAGACTCTGAAGGCACATATGATTGTCCACTCTGATGTCAAGCCCTTTAAATGCAAGGTAAGACTTTCTCATGAGTTGCAGAGGCACAGTATTAGTGAATGCTCCCGAGATTTCATTAAGAGTGGCAGGATGCAATTGGAAAAGCAATACCTAAAATAATATTATATGCTAATTTAAATTCACTTTTCAGAATAATTCTTTAGTTTCTTTTCTTAATCAAAGTAGTTTCAGTGCAAATAAAAAATCCAAAACAGGGGCAGGAAAAATTACAGATTTTTTTTTATTTCCCACCTTAAATATTTTCAGTATCCTTAATCTTGAAGCTGTATTTTTTTCCTTAGTGAGTACTAAAGGTAGTTGCTGATCTGATAATGATAATAAAAATAGCTGACATTTCTTCTTTAGAATGAAATATGCTAGATAAAAGTGCTCAATAAATTGATGTACCTATTAAAATACATTGACCTGGGGAGTCACAGAAATGCCATTAACAATGCTCCATAATCCTACACTATAGCTGGTGCAAGACATGAGGTACACTGTAGCAAAACAGAACTACAAAAACATTTTGAATAGGTCAAATATAATTGCCTCCAAACTGAAATTTGGCCAGGACATTAGTATCCCAGCCTTCTGAAAAATACTTGTTTGCCTTTTGTGATGACAACCAAATAGCATAGGTTCATCTTAGGCAGGATTGCTACCTCCCTCAAGATAACGCACAGAAATTAAATGGATGTAAAGCACATCTTGATCTGAACTTCAAGTTTGGAGGCATTTGGATTTGGGGGTCTGATTTACAACCATCTGAAGAAGTGGGTTGTACCAGCAAAAGCTCATGATACCATCTATATGTTTTGTTAGTCTTTAAGGTGCTAGACTATTTGTTGTTTTTCAATTTTTTATCATAGGGAAGAAGTTATTCAAGTTTGTTTTCCTGCTTAAGGCTGACCTGTATAATCACCATTTTCATTTCTTATATGTATTACTTCTTTTAACTGACAACATGGCTCAATAATATATCTTTTGCTTATAATGCCCAAATTTGTATGTTTCAGTCTCATTTGGGTATCCTTTAAGCACAAAGGAACTGAATGCAGTATAAATACTTACAGAGCATTATGTTTTCCAGTTTCTGCATAAACTCCTGGGCTTCGTCTTCACTGCCAGTTCTTCTGGCAGAAAATATGGTAATGAGGGAATAATTAGCATAAGTTGTGATCTCATTAACATATTTTCTGCTGTTTTGTTTTGTGCAAGGGGTTTTTGCACAAAAAGAAACAGTGTGGACTCTTTTTTTGTGCAAAGACCCTGTTTTCGGCAAGATCCTTATGCCTGTCAGGCTACGTCTACATAGCTTCCCTCTTCTGAAAAAGCCTATGCAAATGAAGTGTGGATTAGCATATTGCCGCACTTCATTTGCATAAGTAATTAGGAGCCATTTTTGTGCAAGTAATTAGGAGCCGTTTCTGCATCTACACAGTGCCTTTTTGTGCAAAACCCCTCTCTTGCGCAAGAGCTGTTCTTCCTTGATTTTTCAGGAAGAACTGCTCTTGTGCAAGAGGGGGTTTTTATGCAAAAAGGCACTGTGTAGATGCAGGAGCAGCCCGAGGCTGGCTGCAGCAGCTGGCACCCTAGGCGGGGTGGTGCAATTGGCTCCCCTGCCTGCATGGCTGTCAATGGCTGTGATGTCACCATGGGGCGCCCGGGCCAGCAGCGCCCTAGGCAGCTGCCTGGCTCGTGTAGGCTCACGGGCCACCCCTGTGTAGATGGTGCCTTTTTGCACAAAAACCTCTTGAGCAAAACCAGCTCCTAATTACTTATGCAAATGAAGCAAGGGAATATGCTAATCCACACTTCATTTGCATAGGCTTTTGCGGAAGCGGGAAGCTGTGTAGATGTAGCCTCACAGGCATAAGGATCTTGTGCAAAATGGGGTTTTTGCACAAACCACCCCCCCATCCACACTGCTTCTTTTTGCGCAAAAAGACATGACGGAAAATATGCTAATGAGATCACAACTTATGCTAATGAGTTTCTCATTAGCATATTTTCTGCCAGAAAAACTGGCATTGAAGATATAGCCCTGGAGTTTGATCTGGATGCAATCTTTGAATTCTTCATTCAAGAGTCTGAAATGAGACCTGTTCTTAAAGGAAATGAAAGGTAGAGCTAATCACAAAATTTTCAATGAAATAGTTTTCTGTTGGAAAATGCACTTTAGTCAAAATCAAAATGTTTAATGGGAAAATAATTATATCAATTAATTTTTAAATGGAAAAAAATCAAAACAAATTATTTCAACTTTCTTGTTTTGTTTAAATAATGCTGAAATGTTTTGTTTTGACTTTATTGTTTCAGATCTGCTTGTTCATACTTTTATATAATATTACAATGATTTCATTTTATTACAATGTTATTTAACATCAAAGCATATTGTATTTAATATGTCATATTGTTGCCATATTATCAAAACAAAACACTTCACCTTATTAAAACAATGTTTCGATGGTACCAAATGACAAATGTTTAAAAATTTGTCAATGGGTAATTTAAAAAATTTCAGTCTTTTGTTCTGATTCAGAACAAACCAGAGTAGCAAGCGACATGTTTTTCAGCTAGCAGCAAAAGCTTCAGAGGAACACCTGTTTTCCTCCCCATCTCTACCCAACATTGCCTTTCAGAACAAAAACAAATAAGCATTGTGGGCCACATTCTTCCCACTACTACACTGGTAGAAGTAATGTCTCTGAAGTCAAAAAGGAATTGAACTGCTGTAAGAAAGGGGAATGCCAGGGCCCCTAGCTCAGGGTTATCCATTGCCTCTCTGGTAGAATCCCCAAAGGAAATTTGGATTAGTCAAGACTTTTTGGATGGTATTCAGAGGGTTAAGGCAATGACCAGATAGCAGCCTTTTGGCACCCCGTTCCTCCTCAGCAGAAGGAAGGATATAGCTGTATGAACTGCCTGCTTAACAATGGCTCACATGTCCCCAGGGAACCGCCTGCAAATAGATTTCATCTTGCTTTCTCTTGTACTTTTCAAAGCTTCCTGTTTTCTCACGGTCCTTTTGGACAATTTACAGTCTTTCTCCCTCTCCCTCTCTCTCTGTGAGGAAAGGAACACCCTTCTTATGAGGAAAAAAAAATAGAAGAAGAATGTAAGGGAAGGACAGCACAGCAGTGGCCTTTCTGCCTCACTGCAGGCTGCAATTTTTGAGGCTTTTTTTCTCATAGCAAAAGAAAACACATGGCTTTCCTATATGTCTAATCACAGCCACACACAGACTATCTGATGTTAGGGAGTAGAAAATTCTTGTGCCTTGTGTTTCCTCACCCAGCTACAGCTTGTAATCTCATTTGGCTCACTCTCTGAAGAGTGAAGATCCTTTCAGCTTTTAAAAAACAAAGTCTATGCTTCCTTATTAACAAAAAATACTACAGTATTCAGTACCAGTTGCTTCCAATGATGTTCTGTTGCTACAATAAGATGGGAAGATTGCTTCTCCTGAAATTAATAAGAGGTTTGCCATTGGCAGTGAAATCAATAACCATTGAATCTTTACTAAAGAATACTTTGGTATTTTCCTCAGTAATACCAAGTACACTTGGTAGCCTTGGTCTTGGAGTAAGAGTTTTATTCATGCTCATTCCATTCTTTGCTTCTCTTCCAAGACTGCCCACAAGGACGCTAGTGTGTCCCAAGGTTTCCTATTATATCCAAGAGCATGGTTTCAAATCAGTAGGTAATGGAAATGAATTCATACTGTAGAAAATTTTTAAAGACTCATAAAATGCTTGACAGAGTCTAATACCGAGACTCTGGAACATGGTGCTTTGTGCTATAGGGTTACTTCATGGCATGAGCAAATGGCTCAGCTTACAGGCATTTTGCTACAAATTTTGAGTAAGTCAGTGGGACAATTCACTGGCCAGTATGTCAAAAGACTCTCAATAGCTATAGGAGTTCAATTAGTTTTTGTCAGTTTTATTTCTCACAACTAAACCAGTTTAACAATGAGCTCCACATGTAAACTACATTGTTTCACCTGACCTGGAATCTCTCACAGGAGACTGTCTGCTCCCTGTAGTTCCCACAGCTCTAGGCCACTGCCTGGGAAGCACTACATTCCAACAGATTGGCTTCCAGCTTTCCTAGCTGGCTCTCAGCAGGCTCTGCTCCCAGTCTGTTTGACTGGGACTTACGGAGAGCTTCTCTGCTGCCTTCTTTTCTTTGTCCTGTTCTCTAAACTCAGGCTGCTTTTATATGCCCATAGACCTGACTCTGAGAGCATGACTACACTACAGTTATTTTGAAATAACAAGGTGAGCATCCACACAGCTAGCCCATTATTTTGAAATTCTTTCAAAATAAAGGGTTTGTTATTTTGAAATAATAACCCCTCATTCTAAGAGAAATAACACTTATTTCAAAATTGCTGTTTCAAAATAGAGTTAATGTGGATGCTCAGCTGCTGCTATTTCAAAATAACTATTCCCCAGAGTCATTCAAATAATTACTTCCCAATGCTTCCATGGGTTCTAAATCAAGATAGTGTGTCCACATTAAGAGATCCTGCCTTGGACTAAATTCGAGGCTTCCCTGTAGTGTGGACATGCTATTTCAAAATAGTTATTTTGGGAGTTATTTCAAAATAACTTATTTCAAAATAACCTGGTAGTGTAAAAATAGCCTGAGTCACAATCTTCTGCCATGTGACCCTGGAACGTATTCCCCTTCAGTTGGAAGGTAGGCAGAATCTGGCAAAGGGTGGAACTGAGCCCAAAACCCCACAGAGGTCCAGTTCACCCTGTAATCGTGCCCTTCCCTGCCAGCCACTCTCCTAATAGATATAATTTTATTTCCTTTGTTTTATTGTCCTGTAACATCTCCCTCGCGGATTTTCCCTTGGCATCACTTCCCCCCTGCCATCAAGGGATTCAGTTTCCAATTACATTCTTCAGCTCTAGTGAAAAGTGGTTTTAGGGTCAGGAGCAAATTTAGCTTTATTCCATTCCTTAGACTGTGAATGATTCAGGGAAATGGAAACTCTGTCCTCTTTGTCCAGAGAATCAGACCCATTTTGTTTCCTCCAGAGAAAAAGAACCAACAATATGTACGGCTGACTAAAAAGACTCTTGCAGAACTTGTTTTTATAAACCTTATAAAGACTCCTAGACGAATTAACTACTTTAATTATTCAGACTGATGTGTTACTTGCATTTCTTTGGTTAGTATTGTAGAAGATAGGTACAAAAATCCTCCAGTCTGAGCAACAGATTAGCCAGAATGTGAACAACAAATGTTCTCAGGCTAAAAAATATCTCTTAAATTCAGAGAATCATTGCTATATCATGGGCTGTTCCAGCTGCTATTAAGAGCAGCTATTGTCCTTCATGGATTTTACTATGTTAACAGGGCTGAGGATAGACTTGCCTGGGCCCTGGGTAAGGTGGGAAGGAGACTAGTTAGAGAAGGAGCATGGCCTCAAGTGGTAGGGGTGGGGATGAGGCAAGTCTCCCTCACCCAAACATTCTGTGTCATCAGAAACACACCACCTGTGACTTGGTGCCAATGTAAAGGGCCCAAGGCTCTGGATGCTGCCCACTTCCCTCCTGTCTCCCCTTCCCCCAATTCCCTATCAGCAGTCCTCTACGCTAATCAACACTTCTTTGCCTCTCTTTCCCCCTGGATGCTTTCTGAGGCACTGATTTCAATAGGGATTTATTACTGAATGAGAACGGAGAACAGAGTTTGATCCTGTAGTTGTATATAATTACACAGATTATGATAAATCAATTGCTGCAGTTGCTACCACCACAAAAGATTAGCAAAAAATGATATTAAAAAGTATCAGACAGCAATCTGAGGATGCAAAGGATCCAGGTCATGGTGAAATCTGCTGTGTTATTATTTTAGTATACTGTCTGCTGTAAATAGAGGTGATCAAAAAGTGGGCAACTATTCAACTGATGAAACAAGATTTCAGAAGCAGGAACTAAGTTGCCTATGAACAGTTTATAATTCTTGAATGGATATATCTGAAATGATTTTGTCACAATTTCTACAAATAATTCTTGACCTATAAATGGAGTACAGCCTATTCATTGCAGATATTTAATCATGAAAATTTGAAATATAAGCTGCCAGATTTGTTATCTTTCCTTGGAAGCTTAGGACATAGAGTCCTATTTCCTAATTGGATGAGTAATACTTAGAATCTAGTGTCCTGTGTGAAATTACAAATTAATAATTCATTTTCTGAGACTATTCTAAAACTTTTATTAAAACTGGGTTTTTTTCTGTGAGCACTTTTGCCAATAAACTCGCTGGCATATTTGCAGAAGACAAAACAAGGACTAACACAGAGGAAGCAAATCATTTAAAAATGCAAGTGACTATTTTCAGATATTTTTCAGTATTCATTCAATTCTATTGTAGATTTGAAAAGAATACTCAGATATCATGCAGTTTTTAATAGTTCAGTTAACTTTTCTCAGAGGAAAATGGGAAGCAGTTCTAGTGCAGAAAAAAGAGGGGGATAGTCCACCCAAGATCAGCCCACAATTTTAAACTTTCCCCACAACAGCAGATAGTCTGGTAGACAGTGTAACAAATTTGAATCATCCCTCAAACAATAGTATAGTAAATTCCCCAAAATAATGTGAAATATCTAAATCAGAATTCAAATGAAACCAAGGTTTCTAGTTTAAATCCATATAGAAAGTACTGTATTTAGCTAGGGAGCCCCTGGGCTCATATAATATGAAGATGCAGATTAATCAGTTCAACTGGGAAGAGACTTTGATTAAAATTTTTCCAAAAAGGAGTTCAAATGTACAGTATGCAGTGGGTTCTACGTCTGCTGGAAACTTTCCTGACTGAGGGAGACATCAATATGAAAGGAAGAAATGAAGTTACTTGTTACATCCTTATCAGGAATTGGAAGTTCAGAAGTCCATAACAGGGTTAACAAATATCTGTTTGTATATCTACATAGCAGCATTATTTCAGAATAACTGGTGTTATTCCAAAATAACATAATGCACATCTATACTACAAGCATTTATTTCAAATAATGTCAAGCTGGAGGACTTCTTACTCTGACATATGTTAATCCTCCTTTCATGAGGAGTAAGGGAAGTCGAAGGAAGAGTGTTCTTCCTTTGACTTCCTGTTGTGTCGACAGTGCTGAAAGGCAAATTAAGCTATTTTGACTTAAGCTACACAATAGACGTAGCTGAAGTTGCATAGCTTAATTCGACTTTTACCCTGTGTGTTTGAGAACACATTTTGTTTATAGGGCAATGAAAGGAGACATCTAGGAACAAAAACAAAAACCCAACATATTGTTTCATCAAAGGGAAACCTGCTGGATCAATGGCTAGTGTTGGAATTAATGTGCTCCAGGAAAACCTGAGTCATTGTTGCAGCCACAAGACTGTCTGAACTTCAGCTTACTCATCACAGGCATAAAAAACAGAAGCTAGTACACAGAAAAGGAGAGGATCAGAGAAGAATCAAGAGGATGTGGGGGAGGGAGAATTTGCTTTTACTATCTTTCTGCTAAATACTTCTGTCATTAGAAGTGCATGGATAGGGAAGCTATACACTACTTCATTAATACCTTTTACCTGTCTGATCTTTCATCAGAAGTTTTCCATGTTCCTTCTTGGCATGGTATTAAGGTCTAGATTTAAACAGCAGAAAGTATATGGCCTGACTGAACAGGCAGGGTTGCCAGGTGTCCGGTTTTCGCCTGGACAGTTCGGTATTCGGGTCCCCCCATCCGGTAAAAAAAAACCCAGAAAATACCGGACATGTGAAATGTCCGGCATTTCCTGTTTCCCTTGGATGGAAGCCCGGCGGGGACAATTTTCCCCTGCCGCATCTGGCGGGGGTGGAGGAGTGAGGAGTGTGGGGCCGTTTAAAGGCGCAGCGCCCTTTTTTCCCCTTAACTTTGGTCTCCCCCGGGTTTTTTTTTGCTTAACAACTTTGGTCTCCTCCTTTTTTTCCCCCAACAGAATTCCCCCCCACACTCTTTTTTGTTTGTTTGTTTGAGGGGTGTTCGGTATTTTTTGTTAAACCATCTGGCAACCCTATGAACAGGATTTTGAAGTTGTGATTTATTTAAAGCTAAAAGATATAGAACTAGGCCCAGGCCCCTTTAAATGTCCACCAGAGCTTTGAGCAGTGCACACCCGGTGACACTGAAGGGCTGGCTGGGGCCTTTAGCCCATCTTCTACCTGAGGCCTGTTGCCTTCTGGGGGCCTGGAGCCAGCCTCTCCTAGCCTGGCGAAGTCTGTCCTGAGCCTTGACTAAGCTTATAGAGCTGAGCCTCTTATGCCCATTTTATGGGCTTTCTCTGATTCTGAAGGGCTCTTTATTTAGATTCTTACAACATTAAACAACCCAAAGTGTTTGCTTAGCTATATATGTATGTATGTATGTATTTGGATAGAATAAGCCCCAGCACTATACTGACAGTTTGTTTTTGTTCTTTGGACACAGTTTGGAATGATAAAATGAAGTTCCTGGCAGAAGCTGTCTGGGCTACAGTACATTCTTATCTCAAGGGGAAATTGTATTTACCTTTAAAGTGCTCGCCTTATAGGTGCATCTACAAAATAAATCATTTTAATTTCCATTGTTCTTGACAGCTGTGCGGAAAGGAATTTAACAGAATGCACAATTTAATGGGACACATGCACTTGCATTCCGACAGCAAACCATTCAAGTGTCTCTATTGTCCCAGTAAATTCACCTTGAAGGGAAACCTCACCAGACACATGAAAGTCAAACACGGGGTCATGGAAAGAGGATTTCATTCTCAAGGTAATAACTAGCAAGAAGGTTGTTCTTGCAGTGGTTTGAATGCACACAATGACACTGTAAAGGGCACAGTGACAGATCTCAAAAGATAGTTGTTTCCTCTGCTTTTGATACTGGAAATTACTGAACTTCACATTGCTAGGAGATTATGTTGCAATGTAAGAGAGGTTTATTGAACCATATCAATGTTTTCTAAACATTATCTGTCACTGTTCCTCAATCTCTGTCACTGCACAGTAGATGAACTTCCTTGGATCTCCATCTTATCCAGGTAGTGCAGTAGAGTTTCAGTTTTACTGATTAGTTTGGGCCATGGAAGGGAGTTTAAGAGTTTTAGTCCTCATAAGACCAAGATGATCATGGTGGGTTGAAGAAGCAATTGGAGGACATAGCATAGAGATTATACTGACCCTCCTGACTGCAGGTGTAATTTATTATTTTTGAGTAAGAATTGCAACTTCATTTGGCGGAATTCCCAGCTGTTTTAACACCCTACATCCTTTTGGAAACTTGTAGCTGGTACAAGACACTGCAACAAGATCTGCCATATCACATGTGGGAACTCCAGTGCCCCATGTTCCTACTGACTGACTTCCAAAATGTCAGGTGTGACCTGTAAAGCCCAAAATAGTCTGGAATTTTCCCACTTGAGAGATAAGTGGGTCAATAAGGCATGATGAGAGACAGAGATCAGGATAGGAGCTCAAACTAGAGCTCCCTCCAGTTACAAGGAGCAATTTCTCCAGTAGGGCATATGCCATTGATATTTATTCCCCATTTTGGTTTGATGAATCAACTGTTGTTGACTTGTGAAGAATATGCTGCCTGTTTGATTAAATGGGCTTTGCTTTTCAGAAGAGTTGAGATAGTTGGGCATGAGGTTTCATTTGGGAATCCGGATGGCAAAGAGATTTTACAAAGTTAGATTTTCTTGATAATTGACTGTTTTGTGCTAGATGGGATTTGTTGGTGTGTTTTTAATAATTGCTGGGATTCCTACAGCCTGCAGTGCATAATTTTAATAACATTTAAAAAACATTAAAATGAAACAGAGGTGGATCCTAACATGTAGAAGTTTAAATGACCTGATATTTACCGTGCAGGGTTCACACACGCACACTTCCCTATGTTTGTCTCTGACCACTGCAACAATGAGACTGCATACATTCTGTAGATGTCATTGCCAGTTATGGAGGAAATAGAACCAGTGGTAGAAATACTTGCCCCACTGAAGTTAATGGGAGTTTTGCTATTGACTTCAATGGGGACAGGATTTCACTTAATGATTTTTAAAACCAGAGATGGGGCCAAACTGTGAAGTCAGACTCCTGATTTGAGTTTCCTCACAGTTGGAGGGTTTTGGAATCTGAGGTTATTGTCTGGGCTCACTTCTGTTTTCAAACAAGCAGAAGGGAAACACACAGAGCAGACGCTCGAGACAAGACCCGTATGAGTATTGTTATGAAAGGAAAGATTCTGTAAGACCATTCAAAAATGTCATCTGATTATTTCCCTAGTAACTTAGCAGAAACGCTGAATGATACATAGCAGGCTTTTCAGTACCATTAGCTGAGGAAGGTCAAACTAAATTAACTGAGGAACAGCAAACTATTTAGAAATGATCAGGGCTACCATTTTAATAGTATTGCTTTGGAAGCAGAGCACCCATAGAATGTATTAACAGGTTTTTATACCTTTTTACCTCACCTTGAATGGGCAGAAATTAAAGCTTTGGTGGTGCTGTAGATGATCAGATATATGTAAAAATATAAACAGGGAAGAAGTGTGTAAATCTAGTAGCAAAAGTAGTCAACTAGAGTTCATGACTATAGGTTTTTGTCCCTATTTGTGTGACTCATTGATAAGTCCAATAATCTATTTTATGCTTCAGTTTAATTATCTATAAAAGGATACAATAATGCTTTTTCTATGTTAACTCTTGCGGTGCCAAGAGACTAATGTTTATTAAATGTTTGGAGCTAAATGGATGAAGGATATACTTTGTAAGGGCAGAATATTTAAACAGTCTGACCCCATCTTACACAAATTGCATTTTAAAAAAAAATCCAAACCCAAACCATGGTTTGACTAAAAAGACAGCATTAAATAAACTTATGTATAAATTGTAACCTTTTTTTAAACCACCATAAGGTTTTGGAAGAGGAAGAATTACACTGTCCCAAACAGGTGTCTTGAGAAACTTGGAACAGGAAGAGCCTTTTGACCTTTCCCAGAAAAGCCAAGGAAAAGGAATTTCATTTCATTCTGATGGTGAGAGTGCCAAGGGAAGCTCAGGTCAGGAGGAAGAGGAAGACAACTGCTATGAAGCAGAGCAGTACAGTCCTGTCATGTACCATCATGAAAACAACAAGCTGTATATGCCCCGAAATCTGTCTAGCAAATCAGACTACGTGGTGAAAGATTTCAAAGAGTCCTACTGTGATGAGAAGGAGGAAATGTTGAGAGAAGGAGGACTGGAGAAGGAGAAAGGAAATCAAGACAAAGAGAGCCAAGAGGAGAGAGACTTTGCAAATAACAAGGAATGCCTGAACTTTAGACCCTTTGAACAGGCCAGACTCAGCCATTCTCTCTCTGATTACCTATACTTCAAACACAGGAAGAACAGTTTAAAAGAATTACTGGAAAGGAAAATGGAAAAACAAGCAATGCTTATAGGCATCTAAATTGACAACTTTTAAGTTACACTTGGAAACTGAGAACCAGGCAACTCATTCATGGTTGTTAAAATGAATAGTTATTGCAAAAAATTGGCAGCTTGTAAACGTTTTTCAGGATGAACGAGCCAAATGAATACAGATAATTTTAAGATAAAAATATAGAATATTTCATTTCCTGGTGTAATTTGACTGCTTTATTCTTCTCTGATAGACATCATTTTCATATATATTCATTTCATATATAGGCAGACAATAGAATGGGTAAAGAGGTTTTATTTCCTTTATTTAGGACAATACCTACATATTCACAATTTCTAGTTATCAAAAAGCAGTGTACTGTAGTGTTTGAGGTATAAGTTGACTAAAGAATATATAAGAACACTTATTTCTGCAGGTTTCAAGAAGATGCTAAATGTTTTCCAGCATATGCAGAAATATTGTTAGATATGCATGCATGAGAATACCGTCATTGATAGCAGAATTAACACAACCAAGAGGTTTTGAGTTTTGCAAATGACTGCTTTACTGCATCTGTTTACAGTGGGAAATAGGAAACCAAATAAGATGAAACTCTAATGTTTTGTCAGATAAGCAACAACTTTATAATTTACACTCTTGTGAAAGGACTAGAATTGGGCCTTTTCTTCTATGACAATAGAATATAGTAATGCTCGCCTCTATCTCTATCAGCATGGTAGCATTTAACAATTATTGAAAGTAAATAGCATGAACTGAACAGACATTTTATTTTGTTGTTTGTTCAGGCCAATACATTTGAGGAACAGCAGCACATTGTATTTGCAAGTTTTGCTATAATTCCACATAATTATCTCATTCTTATTGCTTAATTTAGATAAGCACAAGGGTAAAATTTCCCATTCAGCTCTCCATTTTATCTTGGAGCGCACTGCTATTTTGAAAGCCAATCTCTTACCAGCTTTTGTTTTAAAAGAGACATCAAAACAAAACACCCCCACAAAGGCATTAGGGTCTTCTTGTACTTCATTTTCTGTTACTTATTTGACAAGGCTGCATCCTATTGGTCAGTTATGTGAATGGGAGAAAGTTTGTTTGTCAAATCAAAGAAAATTTAGAGTTCTGCTCCTACTATTCTTAATGATTCAGTCCCAGATTTTCATTCTCTGACTCATGTCCTATCCTATTGTATCGGGTCCTGGACAGGGAACATATTATTTTTAAGCAGGATTAGTAAGTACTGTATTCGTGTAATATATGTGGAGTAGTTTGATAGAACACCCTACGTCTTTTATTCTGGTAACTAGTAAGAGTCTTACTCAGAACACATTCCTTTAAAAGTGGACTTTTTTTTTGATCGGTGCCCTCATTTCTATAACTTTGAGAGATATAGCAGAGTCCAAAGCCATATTGTCACTTGACAAGGAAATAACAAAGCTTTAATTCCTTCTTAATTATATGTCCTTTTGAGATTCAAAATAAATCCAATAATTGAATATGTTTAGATTTACATATTAAGACATATTTTAAAAAATATATAAAAATGATTTTCCTCTGTATTTATCCGTCAAGCATTCAATTTAAGATTCTGTTTTACCACTGAAATATGAGATGTCTACAGCACATGAATTTGTTATGAGACACAAATATTATAGCACATATATGTTCATGGGTCATTAGGAACCCAGGCTGATTACTTCTGCTTCAAAATCTGAGTCCTCTATCACTAAAGGAAACACTCTTGGCTCATGGAAGTAGTTCTCACATTCTTTCTGTTGGCCAGTCACTACAGGGAAATACCACTCAAATATGGTTGTGCAGCATACTAGATTTGTACAGTTTAAATCTATAGTGAAAGATATGCTGTCATTTCTGACTACCTTCCAAGGCCTAGAAATGGGATACAATATAACACAAAGATCCTGAATGAGGAGCACATAAATATTACTTTTCCAGGATACTTAAAAATGAAAGATCCATTTCCACAGTCTAATTAACTTTCTTTCTGACTTGAATAATTTTAATAATAAAAGCCAGGGCATACCAAATTTGTGTGGAATGCAGGCAACTTTGGGACTAAAGTGAATGATGCCCCCCCCCCCCCCAATAAGGTACATTTGAAAAAAAATAAGAATGGCCATAGTGAGTCAGATCAAAGGTCCAGATAGCCCGGGGTGAGCAAAAGGGCTTCCATGGACCAAATTTGGCCTGCTAACTGAGTTGATCTGGCCCGTGGAGACCCTACTGCTCCCTTGCCCTGATTGGCCTGGGGGGGAGGAGGTGCAACATCTCCCCCCACCCTGTAAGGGGTATAGCGCTTCTAAGCACCATATGCTCCTTGCAGGACAAGGAGCAGGGAGAGAGGAAACTTTGCATGCTCCCCCCGCCCCCAGGCCAGTCAGGGGGCAGGGAGTGAGAGACATCATGTGCTCCCCCTCCCCAGGCCCTAATTAGCCTAGGGGTAGCAGGTGGGAGCCTGCAAAGTCTCTTCCCACCACTAGGGGCACAGGTACCAAGAATCAACTGTCAGCTGTTCAGAACAGCTGGCAGTTCCTTGTGAGGGAGGGAAGACTTTGTGTGCTCTCCCACCCCCAAACCAATCAGGGTCTGTGGGTGGGGAAGCACAGAAGTATCCTGGCCCCACCACTTCCACCTGAGGCCCTGCCCCTTCTGGGGTGGCCTGGGGCCACTTCAAAAATTTCTGAAGTGGCCCCACCAGTCAAAAATTATTGCCAACCCCTGAGATAGCCCATTATCCTGTCTTCTGACAGTGGCCAATATCAGGTGCTGAACAGGTAATCATCAAGTGATCCATCCCCTGTCACCCATTCCCAACTTCCAAGACTCTTTTTGCCAGGACAGCATCCCTGCCCACTCTGGCTAATAGCCATTAATGAACCTATCCTCCATGAATTTATCTAGTTCTTTTCTGAACTGTGTTATAGTCTTGACCTTCACAACATCCTCTGGCAAACAGTTGCAGATCAAACTGACTGTGCAGGTCAACGGCCATTCAGAGATAGGTCCATGCCATTTTATCATATGCATATATGTTACACACTTTTTCATTGTGAGATGGTCCATCCTAGTCATTACATTCAAAAAGGGGCCTTAGGGTTAGGTGTCTATCTTGAAAGCTGTATGGTTGCAGAGGTAGCATTGCTTCATGGATAAAATAATGGACATTGTGAGTCTGTGGTTCTATTCTTGGCTGGGTCATATTGAGCAAGAATTACAGATGAAGAATGCTACTTAAAAACTAGGTGGTATTATGTGATAAGAGACAAAAAACCACACAAAGTGCCTTAGCCAAAAGATATAAGAGATCAGCTAGTCACTCAACATAATCTCATGCAATAGCGGCCAGATTTTTACCCCCAGTCATCCAAATTTCCAAGAGAACTCAGCTTCCATGTAGGCACTACATAAGTGACCAGGTTTTCAAGCATGTTAAGAGTGCAGATGTTTTTAAACATCTAGACTTGAGTAGAGAATACCGAAGTCTGGGCTTGAGCTCTTCTGAAAATGTGGCTACAAACATGGGGTGCTCAATTAGTGACATAAACACTAAAATATTGGCTGTGGAAGAGGTTGCAACAAAATTGCATACTCTTAGAATCTTTACTGATGCCACCAAATGCAAGTGCCAAGTGGGCCCTTCATAAAGTATGTCAATGCAACTACATCAGCTTGCCTGGCTGAGTGATGCAAAGCTTCCAACACCACCTTCATTGTCACCAGCATTTTCCTCCTGATAAAATCTCATGTCGCCTCAGAACAACAGCAAGATGTAGTCCTGTAGCTGAAAGGAAAGGATAGTCTTCCTCAAATTGGCAGTTGGGAACTACCATTCTGATTTGAAATCTGATGTAAACCACACTTCTTACACAAAGAAATGATCACCCGAGTTTTCTTTCCAGGAGGCTCTCAGGAAATTCCAGACTGTTCATTCCCTTAGCCATCAACCATCCCATGCTCATTCATCTTAGATCTATAAAGAATTCAACCAAAGCATTCATGAATCACAGAGTGGCAATGGAATTGCAACAAAGCCATTCCTGAGATAATGATAAGGACTTGGCACAAAGAGACAAGCAAAGCAATGTGGGTCCCAAGGAACAAAATTAAGGACAATCTCCACTGTGAAATGCCTTGCTTTTCTTTTAATCGATCTTCACGTTATTTACATTGCCATTTTTGAAGGGGGGATATTAAGAGCTTTTGGTTTTCAAATTCCTTGTAGAAATAAAAATTGCACTAAAAGTAAGACCTTTTCTAGATCTAATTTTTATGTGCTCTACTATGATCTGCTCTGCCTACAGGCATGGAATTGCTCCAGGTTTATATTATAAAGGAGCCACTGTAAGGTGGCACAGAAAGCTTCACTTTCATTTTCTATAATCTGGACCTTTATAATTGTATTATATTTTAAAACCATTTTAGAGGATGCCTCAATGTGGCCTCTTGCTGATGGTCCCACACTGCCTGCATGGCCACTTTGGCACAGCAGGTCAAATTAAAGCACAGCCACCATGAAAGCTATACATTTAATTTGCTTATACTGATTTCCTTGCTTATTACTGGAATCTGATTAATAATGATTCAAAAGTGCTTATAAAATTTATTTGAGCAAGTGCTCCACAATGAATTTCAGTCAAGGAGCTCTGCCAAAGCCTACTGAAGAATGGTGGATCAGCAACTTCATCAAGGTATGGGCAGCAGAAGGTTCAGGACACACATCGTTATAAGTAGGTAAATGTTACTATCAGGGCAGCACTGGAGTGTTGAGTTCTGTAAGGTACTATACAGCGCAGAGTAAGCAAGCAACAAATCCAGGCAACAAATAGAACTCTGGATGAAAACTATGGCGCATTTGTTGAGAAATATGCATTATTGATAATGTGCTGCTGCCTGAACAAACAGTGAGCTTTACCATAAAGAATTTGGTAACATTTTTCACAAACTCAAGTTTGCAGGGTCCAGAGCATCCCCTACAAGGTTCTGAGCACCCTCCACTCCTATTGATGTAGACATCAGTGGCTAATGCTCAGTTTGACAGAAGATGCTCAGCCCCTCTAAGGAGTACGCCCTTTATGTTGTTGTGTAAAGGGAGCTTCACCATACACTTCCTGGCTTTTATAATGTGTCAGCTACTGCTTGATTATCAGACAGGCCAAGTGATCGTCTGATGCTGCCACCATATTCCTCTGTTTAGAGCTCTGTGCGGTCATGTAGCCAGTTTTGTAATTTCATTATTCATCTGGTGCTGCTGGACTCAGGTGCAGCTGGTGTACATTTAAGAAATGCAATGTAAGTACTGTATTTATTATGCCAAAAAGTATTTAATTAAGTATTAACAATTTTTTAATAGTAAGTTGTGTCTGCTTTGCTGAACAAGATGTAACAGAGCTAACATTTTGTACTCTTAGCATATTTGGAAAATACTGCAGTGGATGTTTATTTCATACAGAATGCTGGCTTGCTGTCTAAAAACAAACTCAAAAGAATTAACCAGTTTAAGTTGTGAATGTTCAGCTTGTGGCACTAGATCTTGATAGCAAAAGCAGTTCACCTGAAAATAACATGTAAAATGTATTTTGTTAATTTAAGCAAATAAAGATATATGGAAGATGCTGCTGTAATTCTTGTTAAACCATTAAACACACCAGGACATAAAACACTAAAAATCTGTGCTGTCCAATAATGCACACAGTGTACTCAGACCATAATCTGACAGGGAAGGCCCTCACTTTACTCAACAGTGGCTCCTCCTGGCCACTGACTCTTCTGTCAAAAGGACCGTGATTGTGATGGGACACTGATAGAAATGGAGGAAAGGTAAATGGGATGAGGAGAGGGAAAGACCTTCAGAATACCTTCAAATATGTGAAGCACCTCACCATCACAGACTGCCGGGACAAAACACAACATCATTCTTATTTATGATTTAACTACTGACAACATACTCAGCCCCATACAAGACTCAAAGGTCAGGCCTCACCTCCAGGAATATATAATCAAAGGTTCAATCCTGCAAAGACTTCCACATTTCCTTAAGGTTAAACCATGTGTGAAAGTCTCTACAGTATCAAAGCCTAAATGAGCTAACTGAGCATAGATGGTGAAGACACCTCAGTAACCCAGAAGATCATTCTACTATAAAACACCACTTTAATTAGGCTGGTAGTTTTTCTTTTTTTCCAGTGAGATGCCGAGAGGACGGCATTATTGAGAGACTTGGGTTAGTGCTTGCAGATGTTGTAGAGCCTATTTAAAGGGAGTGATTTGAATGGAGAATTGGAACCTGTCATGCTAGGCAGAGAGGGAGTTCAAACAATGAAGGAAAACAGGAACATGTCTGTTTGAGTTCTGACTGTCACAGAAATAGGTTTATTCTATAGTGATTTAGAAGTCCAATATCCCTTAAAATGTGGGACCTTGTTATACGACTCCCAATGATATAAACCTAGAGATCTCATGGATCAGAAGCAAAGCATTTTTTCTAATTATAGATAACCATTACAGGCATTATAAACTAATTCTGCATGTGAAGGAAGGTATGTCTCTTTGATAGCTGGGGAGTGCCCTAGTTCAGTCCCTTGTGGCTTAGTATCTGTGGCTCTCAACACTTCCTCTTTGCTACATGCAACAATATATTTTAGAAAAACTGATGGTTGGCCCTTTTCACAACTTTCCTTTTAATTTTTGGTGAAAATGACCTTGTATCTTCAAACAAATAAAGAGGAAACGAAAGAGTTTCTCCTAAAGTCCCCCAGGGAGTTGCTATGTTTTCAGAGAAATGTGGGAAAAGTCCCGGTTTAGCTACATGTAGCAATGTAGCATGCAGGGAGAGAAGCGGGAGAGGGATTACCCAAAATAGGAGAAAGGTGACAACACTTCATTTAAAATAGAAATCGTGGCATTTATCAACTCTGTTAGCTAGAAGCTATTGCCATAAAATACCGAAGAATAGTCATTGCTGAGCACAGCAAAAATTGCAGTCAGCGTCATTACAAGTTAAAAAGGATCAAATCTTCAGTAGGTTAAAGTCTTGGCCCATGTGCAAAACCTGCATCTAGAGTTGCAAACCTTCATGTTCATTCACCATTGCCCCATTCTCTCACACAGCTGCATGTTAAAGTATGGCTGCACAGTTTTACAAAGTGATAATGGCTGCCGTCATTTTTCAGAGTTTGGGACAAAGGGTCAGTGTTGGCAAGGCTGGCGTTTGCACGTAGTGCAAGAGGAACACCTGGTTGAGGAATACTTTAGCAATTTTCTAGTAAGTAGTATCTTATCATAAGCTATAACCTCTCAATGAATCGTCCAAAGTATAAATGAAAAAGAATAAACTTTGAGAATAAGCCTTATGGTCCCTGTCATTTTACCAGTGGGGGATCTGAAAGGTATTGTCTATTCAGGGTTTTCCGCGATACTGTGAAAACTATATAGGGGAATGCCTGCATGGAGCCCTAAGGGCTTCTGGGGGAGTCTGCGCCTAGTGTCACTTGTTGGATCATGATTTTAGGGGGCAAACACTTCTAGGCTATGTCTACTCTATAACCTCTTGCGCAAAAACATATGCAAATGAGGCG